TCCCAATCCCTCCCTTCCTCAACCCTCTGCAGGCATGCCCCTCCCCAAGTCACTGATAGGGGAGGTCTTCTTTTCCTTCCTTCTGATCCTAGTCAATTAGGTCTCATCAGGAGTGGCTGCATTGTCTTCTTCTGTGGCCTGGTAAGGCTGCTTTCCCCTCAGGTGGAGGTAATTAAAGAGCAGGCCAATCAGTTCATGTCAGAGACAGTCCCTGTTCCTATTACAATGGAACCCACTTGGACACTGAACTGCCATGGGCTACATCTGTGCAGGGGTCTTAGGTTATCTCCATGCATAGTCCTTGGTTGGAGTATCAGTCTCAGGAAAGACCCCTCTGCTCAGATTTTTTGGTTCTGTTGTTCTCCTTGTGGAGTTCCTGTACTCTCCAGATCTGTTTCCCACTTCTTTCATAAGATTCCCTGCACTCTGCCCAAAGGTTGCCCATAAGTCTTAGCATTTGCATTGATAGTCTGCAGGGCAGAGCCTTTCAGAGGTCCTCTGTGTCAGGCTCCTGACTTGTTTCCTCTGTTCTCCTTCTTCTGATGTCCATCCTCTTTGCCTTTCTGGATAGGAATTGAGCATTTTAGCAAGAGTCCTCCCTCTTGATTAGTTTCTTTAGATGTACAGATTTTAGTAGGTTTATCCTATATTATATGTCTATATGAGTGAGTATATACCATGTGCATCTTTCTGCTTCTGGGATAGCTCACTCAGGATGATCTTTTCCACATTCCACCATTTACCTGCAAATTTCATGATTTCCTTGTTTTTATTGCTGAGTAATATTCCATTGTGTGGATATACCACAATTTGTGCATCCATTCCTTCATTGAGGGGCATCTGGGCTGTTTCTAGCTTCTGACTCTTACAAATAAGGCTGCTACAAACATGGTTGAGAGAACACTTAAAGAAATGCTCAACCTCATCAGCCATCAGGGAAATGCAAATCAAAATGACCCTAAGATTTCACCTTACACCTATCAGAATGGCTAAGATCAAAAACTCAAGAGACAACACATCCTGGAGAGGTTGTGGAGAAAGGGGAATCCTCCTCCACTGCTGGTGGGAATGTAAACTGGTACAACCACTCTGGAAAGCAATCTGGCACTTTCTCAGACAACTAGGAATAGCGCTTCCTCAAGATCCAGCTATGCCACTCCTAGGCATATACCCAAAAGAGGCTCAAGTACACAATAAGGACATTTGCTTAACCATGTTTGTAGCAGCCTACTGTTCTTAAGACAGACAGGGTCTAGCTGTGAATCCACTCAAACATGGAGTGGTTCTCCTTCCTCTGTCTCTTGAGCTTTGATTATAAATACAAGTGCCACTATACCCAACTATATTTTTCTAGTTATTATTTGTGTGTGTGTGTGTGTGTGTGTGTGTGTGTGTGTGTTTGTACAGTCTCTCCTGCCCACACAATGATACACTCGTGGATGTCAGAGGACAGCTTATGGTAGTTGGTTTTCCCTGTCCACCTTGTGGATCATGGGATCAAACTCAGATCTTCAAGATTGGTGACAAAGCATGTTTATACCCACTGTGCCATGACATGAACTGACCTTGTGTTTATTTGTTTAAGACAGAGTTTCATGTATCTCAAACTTGTTAGTAGCTAAGGATGTTGAACTTCTGATCTTTTTGCTTCCACGTTCTGAGTGCTGAGATTAGAGGCCTGTATTACTATTGCTCCCTTCCCCACCCAGAATGGGTTTTTTCTGTGTAGCCCTGACTGCCCTGGAACTCACTCTGTAGACCAGGCTGGCCTCGAACTCATACAGATCCACCTTCCTCTGCCTCCCAAGTGCTGGGATTAATGGTGTGCACCGCCACTTATTTCACTATGCCTTTTTAATGGAGTGTTGTATTTTAAATATAGTGCTTCACACATGGTAGACAAGTGCTCTGCCAGCTGAGCTATCCTTAGCCCACACCTGGCTTTTCAATTAAGAGATTATATAGATGGATGTTTTGCCTGCGTGTTACGTCTGTGTGCCACTGTATTGCCTGTGGAGCCAGAAGAGGCGTCAGAGCTCCTGGAGCTGGAGGCAGACAACTGTGGCTTCCACATTGGGCCAGGAATTGAACACAAGTTCTTTGCAAGAGCAGCAAGTGTTCTTAACGGCCAAGCCAGCTCTCCAGCTCTCCTTTCAATCTCTTAAAGAAGAAACATGAAAACCTAAAGGTTTAGACAGATACCTTCAATACTTTGGGTTTGAGTATTGTCACTAGAAAACTATCTTCTTTGAATAATAGTTTGTAATTGTAGTCCTTGTAGTTTATAGGATTTGTAAACTGCATTGCTTATGCATGTTGCCTGTGAGAACCCCTAGGTTTTAGTTGCCAGAAAAATCACAGAGAATGTGAGACCAAAAATGTAAGGCTAGAAATATCCATTTTTGTTTTCCAGCTGGCATCTGACCACTTAATGATAGCAGAGCGCTTTGAAAGCCCAGTTACATGGTAACTGCTACACAAATGACAGTTGCCCTTTGCTGCTATTGAAATTCTGGTAGAGGAGAGTTTCAGCAGAATCCTTATGAAGAAGGTGGTAGAAAATGAACCTGGTAAATAGGCTGTAAAAATAGAATGTCCATTAGAAAATGGAATATAGACCCACAGGGTTGACACGGGTATACTGGGTTATATTTTTTATTTACTTTGACTCTGTAGGTAATGTCATTTTTTATTCAGACAAACTATAAAGTTGTCTTACATTGGTGGCTGGAGTGAGGACCGTAGTTTGCGTCGTGTTGGGTGGCTCACAGCCACCTATAACTTCAGCTACAGGAGAGCTAACATTCTTCTCGCCTTTGCAGGCACAACACTCACATGCACAAATCCACACTCTTACACGCATACACACAAAATTTAAAAAGAAAATCTAAAATTGCTTTTAAAATTACCATTTATGTGCATATTATATATGTCTATAGATCCAATTTATAACTAGTTTTATTTTTTTCCAAAAAAAGTGATATAACCCCTTATATTTTAAGACAATATAAAATTGCCAATTTAAGTTCTCTAATGACAGGAAACAGTAAGTATCGTAATCTAAATTACTTGTTAGGTTTCTGAATGTGTACGGTTCACACTGCAGGAGTACAGAGCACCTTGTAGCGACGGTGTTTTCACTGAGCACTTACCATCATTAGGACTGTTTACCTCTGCATTTGTTCCAGTATTACCATATTCTGTAAGCACTAGGCCAGAGCAGGCCATCGTGCAAGCAGAGGCTTCCAAGTAAGAGCCAAAATAGATGGTGGGCTATGAAGCTGCTATAAAGTTTTGTGGATTGTAGTTGCACATGCTTTTTGAAAATTGTACATAGTAAGTGGGAAAGTAGGTCACACTTAATTTTTCATAAAGTCCTTTTAGTTCTCAACTTTAAGACATTTTCCTGTACTCAGTGATCAAGTAGGCACTTAGTTAGCAACCAGTATGGAAGTAATTGAACAATTTTATATTTATATTTTCTGTAAATAATGGGAATTCTTTAAACTGATTGTAATTTTAACAGTTCTGATAATTTCTCTTACCAGAAGCACTTTTAGGAATGAGACAGAAACATGCTGATACTATGGCTATAATTTATTCTCATCCAAATTTAAATTTAAGTTCAGTCAGCAAATAATCTTTTTAGAGTTTATTTTCTTTTGATGACAGCATTATTGCTGTCTTACTATTTAGTGAGCAAGAGCAAATTTAGCCAACACTTTAGGAAATAGAATAGGGATAAGGATGTATTGGAAAGCCTGGGTTATTTGGAGCTTTTTTAAAAATTCAATTGAAGTGCTTTTTCCTTAAACTCAGAGTTCTCCTGCCTCAGCCTCTTGACACCACAGTGGGTAGGAGACACGTTAAGAGTGGGAGGCATGGTGTGTGGTCTGCACAACTTAACCTTCATTTAAGTTATAAAGTATGTATGCACGATTAAAACTCACAAGGGAGTCCTAAGAATTTGGAGTGATATGTGTCACATGAATACGAGTACTCCAACATTTTCAGAGTGGGTTGTGTCATTCTTTTGGTTTAACAGAAGTAGACAAATAAAGTCATACTGGGAAGCTTTTCATTTTTCAAGATCTTCCCTTAAGACTGTTGGTGGGGGCTGGGAAGATGGCTTAGTGGGTAAGAGCACTGGCTTCTCTTCCAGAGGTCTTGAGTTCAATTCCCAGGACCACATTGTGGCTCACAATCATAATGGGATCTGATGCTCTCTTCTGGTTTGCAGGCATAGGTGCAGATAGAGAACTCATATACATTAAATCAATCAATCAATCAATCTTTAAGGATAAAAAAATACTCTGTTGGCTCCTTATTGCACTCATTAAAAAGTGCAGTACTTTCGTATCTTCTGTGACTTAGCTTACCTGTATGGCCACATGTACAACTTAGTCTCAGAAGATCATTTCAACTAATGTCATTGTAGTCATTTTTGGTTTTATAGATATGTTTTATGGTGTTAACTCAGCAACATTTCTGTTCTATCCTTGTGCTCATAGCATATGTTACCGAATGCTGGAGATAGGCATCACTAGGCAGTTTTGTTCAAACATCGTAAGCCTGTACTTGCACACACCCATGTGGTATATAAGTCAGTTTAGACATGTTGATGTTTTTGTCTGGAGTCTCAGATTTTTGGTAGATATTTTCATTCTTATATTTAAACTTTGTGTTTGTGTAGGAATATAGTGAGATGTCAGTGTTTTGACTACTTAGATAAATGTTGAGATAATGTCATTGTACAAACATGGTTATGAAAGACTACGGCTGTTTACTAGTAGGCAAACTAGAATATATGAAACCCCTTAAATTCTTCTTTAGTATTTATTTGCCCCATAAGCAAAACTAACTTTATTGTAGAAAACTATAAGAAATTAACACAAAATTATGTGTACTTCTGTCACTGGATGGAATGAATTCTGGTATTTCTATATTGTGCTCGCTTCGGCAGCACATATACTGATATTTCTATATGTTGTTTGTTCCAGAAATATGGCTACACACACCTTTCTGCAGGAGAGCTTCTTCGTGATGAAAGGAAGAATCCAGATTCACAGTATGGTGAACTCATTGAAAAGTACATTAAAGAAGGGAAGATTGTGCCAGTTGAGATAACCATCAGTTTACTAAAGAGGGTAAGGTGCATGAATAACAATTGGTCACATTGCGAAGGACACGAGAAACTAACTTCACCTTCATGTGAATAACGAAAAGTCGGAATGTTAAATTTCTTGATTATGGAAGGCAGTGTGGTCTTTGAAAATGGTGGAGTTGGGAACTGCTTTCACTGTGAAGAAATTGACAGTAGCAAGGATTCTCTGCCTTGGTGTAAGACCAGCTGTAGTTCAGCCTAAGGTACTCATAGGTATACTTTGTTTTGTTTTTGAAACAGCTCCATATATTACAGGCTGGCTTGAAAATTATATAGTCAAGGATCTTCCTGCATCTGCCTGTTAGGATTACAGGCCCTTGGACCATCCTTCCCAGCATTCAGTTATTCTTGTCCATTTGTGGTTACTCTCCCCTTTCTTTGCTTTTTCCTCCCTTTTCTTGAACATCTTTGTTCTCTTTTTCTCTGCCTTCCACTCATATTCTTCTCGTTATTGATATCTGTTTTGTAGTCTCCTTATTTTCCTGAAGAATGCATTGCTATTTTTACTGTGAGATCTAAAAGAATACACTTTGGTAGGTAGTATTTTGCATGGGTCCCTAAGACTAGTCAGTAGCAGGTATTTTGACATAAAAGGACCAGTGAAACAGAATTGCAGTGTTGGGAACAGGAGGCAATAAATCGATCTCAATAGTGAACCCTGCAGTCTGCCTCTTGCCTCAGCCTGGAACAGCTAACTTCCTTTCCAGAGTAAGTCTTATCCTCTGGCTCTAATGTCTTCTGCATTATATGTGGTGTGCATTATGAGAGGGTAGTTGACATCACCTTTGAAACTGTTCCTTTTTGTGTGGTACTGGGGATTGAATATAGGGCTTTGATCATGCTCAGCAAGCACCCTGTCACTGAACTGTGTCTTCAGCCTTTTCTATACATGCTTTCTTTGAGACGGGCTCTTACCAGGTTGCTCAGTTGGTTTTGAACTTACTCTGTAGCCCAGGAAGTCCTTGAAATTGGAATCTTCTAATCTCATTGTCAGCCTCAGCTATAATATCAGGCAGAGCTCTTCTTGCATGTTATCAGTGATCTTCCCTGTGTAACCCAGGCTATATGTTTAGTTTTTCTTTTTTCCTGTAGCATTTACATCTTAATTAATCTGTCTTTGGAATGAGTTCTACCTGTTTTTTTTGTTTTTTTGTTTTTTTTTTTTTTTGTGGCACCATTTTTGTTCATTCTCTTTTTACTGCAGGAACTGCTATTTTTCAGTTTCTTTCCTTCTTTTTTTTTTTTTTTTCTTCATTTGAAAGTTTTCAAAACTACTATGCTTCTTAGATTTTGGTTCTCTTCATCTCTCTCTCTCTTACTTGCCATGTTGTTTAAACCATGCCCATGTTTTCATTGTACCAGTACAGCTGGACTCTACAGCTCTACAGAGACAGCGCTTTGTAATAGCTTCCAGACATGTTCTTATCAGTCACGCCAGAGGCTAAATGTGTCATCTGAAGCATGATGTTTATTTCCCGTCTTGGCTGTTGGTTGGATTAACTACCCAAGTCTTTGGTGAGAGGATCTCTCATTAACTCTTGTTTATCTCCTGTCTATTGCTACCATCACTGGAACCTTTTAACCTTTTCTTTCCATCCTGTCTCCCACTACTCTCTACACATGTTCTAAGGTGTATTTTTACCGGCTTGCTTCAGATTCCTCAAAGCTGTCATGCTCTCTTATTTCTGACCTTTATATGCCTGCTTCCTACTGTCTCAAGTGATTCATGTTGGCATGCTGATTTATTATGTAGGAAATAACTCCACTGCCAACACTTTGGTCAAGTTTTTTCATAGTCTATGGATTTTGTGTTTCTTGTTTTAAAAGCATCCTTTGCTGTCCTAGGACTTACCATGTTATGTGTAGTTGTTACCTACTATACTGTGAACCCTCCAGGGGCAAGAGCAGGGACCTTAGTCTTGATAGTAGATCTCAGAGGAATGTAGACTGAGTAAACATGTTTGATGTGGCTTCTCCAGAGACCTCCTACCATAACTGGGGTAGGAATGCTGTAGCCAGAATTTAATACTTCTTCATAAAAGTTTTGTGAAATTAGAGCAACTAGATTCTGAGATAAAACTAACTTACAGAAAATAAGTCCTGATAATGCTCTTCTTGTAGAATGAGGACACGTGGCTCATGTAGAGAAATTAATGTCAGTTTGCTTTAGATTAAAGGTTCTGGTTTGTTAGAGGGATGCATCTGGAGGTGCAAAGGATTTAGACACTTAGAGATTGATTCTCCTATTCATATTACTCCCATATTCTACATAAATTCAAGCTTTGGGAAAAGATGATGAAATGTGTTTTTTTCAGCCATTCTGAATGTGTTACACCTTGTGCTGTCTGTGTTTGGGGCAGCCAATGCCATTTAGGTATAATTAGTTTGAATTTTTTATTATTTTATTTTATTTATTATTTATTTTTGTTTTTGAGACAGGGTTTATGTAATTCTGGCTGCCCTGGAACTCTGTATAGATCAGGCTAGTCTCAAACTCTGTCTGTCTGTCTCTGCCTCCTGAGTGCTAGGATTTAAAGGTGTGCACTACCATACACCTGGCCAGTTGTTGTTGTTGTTTTAAAGTATTGAATCCTAGTAATGCTAACAGCTAGACAGGCCTGTGTTTGGGAAGCTGAGGCCAGAGGAATCTTAGTCAAGGCTGACTTGAGCTACAGATGAGTTCAAGGCCATTTAATGGGACCCTGTCTCAATAAACAAACAAATAAAAAGTGAAAAGATGGGGTATATATATTGTTGAGTAATCGAGTGCTTTCCTGACTTCTAGCTATTAGATTTGAACTCTAGTGAATCTGAACCCCTATAGAAGGAGCATGCTCTCAGCAGTCAGGGGTAGTGCACACACATAGCCCTGGCTCTTGAGAAACTCAGACAGGAAGATTTCAAGATGGAAACCAACTCAATTTACATAGTGTGTCCCTAACTGAAAAACAAAAACCAGAATTGCTACCTCCTATAGCACAGTGATTTGAATGACATGTGGCAACACAGGGTCTCTGGATGCTGCAGCAAAGCTCTGCGTTAGTGGTACTTTGCATGGGAAGGTAGTACATGCTTTGCTGATCGGCGATTACTTTACCAACATTTTACTTAGGTGTCTACTTGGTTTTTACTTGGTTTTGACCCACTGGTAGGAATGCTGGGTGGCAGTGACACACATGGTAAGGCAGGCTGCTTACCTCTCAGCCAGAAAGTGAAAAGATAAAAGTCTCAGGATCCCATAGTCCCTTTAGGAGTATATTCCCAATGATTTAGGAAGCCACTTTTTTAAAGGTAGGCCCACCTCAGGGACCAAGCTTTTAACAAATACATGAAGCTTCAGAAGACATTCAACATGCACACTATAGGATGTGTTTCATAAGCTGTGGAGACTACAGAAGGAGGTAATGAAAATAGGGGAGCACATCCCTCTAGTCTCACCAGCTGAAGCAACCATGTCAAGAAGTTGGCTCATTTCTGTCTAGTCTGTTTCCCTATGTGCCTTCTACTCTAGTGGTTTAGGGAATAATACAAACAGCTGTGTGCCTGCCATTCTGCTTAAGAAATTGTTCTTTGGTGATACAGTATTGAGCCTTAGTCTTTCTTCTTTAGGAAATGGACCAAACAATGGCTGCCAATGCTCAGAAGAATAAATTCTTGATTGATGGATTTCCAAGAAATCAAGACAACCTTCAAGGTTGGAACAAGACCATGGATGGGAAGGCAGATGTATCTTTTGTTCTGTTTTTTGACTGTAATAATGAGGTAATGAGCATCTTATCTGTCCACATGGGCTTCAAGCTACAGATGGTCAACTTTTAGAGAGAAACAGTGATTTTTTTTTTTCCATTTACATTTTCTGTTGGCAGCAGTATATCTGTATTTAGTGAGTGACAAGATTGGGTAAGCAGAGCAGTATTGCCTTGCTAGTAGAATATAGAGGGCTATTGCCATTGGCAGCTTTGTGACCCTTGGGCTTGCTTTATTTTTAATGTAAAAGTCAAGTGTTTTTTGTTTTGTTTTAATAAACATTGATATACACAGTATTGTTACATAATGAAGCTGAAGTACTGCTCAGGAGTGTGCTACTTGGAACACTGTGTTGTTTCCTAGAAGGTGTAGATCTGGAAAGGTGGAGGAGAAACATTTTAAAGAGATGTTGAAGAATTTGTCTTCTAAGAATACAATGGTTTGAAAAATAGCAGGAACAAATTCTTTCCCCTAACACATCTAACAGCACACCCAGACATACCTTTGAACAAGTAAATAAATTTCTTAGAACCATTTAATTAAAAAGCCTGACTGTTTGACAACCACTGTGCTATAAATTTCATTAAATTCATGCCAACAGTCTGAATGTGAAGTAGTGCCTTGAAGGAAGTTAGCTATTCTTAGGTTGAATTGTAAATGTGCCTCTGGTAAAGACTTGCCACAGCCTTTGAGCTGTTTTAAAATGTAACTCTCTTCTCCCAAGTCTTAAAAATATGTTTTCACTTATTCTTCAAAGTTAACTTTAGAATGTTACCACAGCTTTATAAGTAAGGAATGTTTATTCACGATTAACAAGAGATGCTTTATTCAAATATGTTGGCTCAAATACTGGATATTTATGGAATTATTGTAAAGTAAGCAAAAGTGGCACAAAGTATGAGGCACGTAATTCATACCTAATGAGTTAATAATATGTCCGAGATGAAGCCATACCCACACAGATCATCTTTTTATTGCAGTTTGAAAAAAGTAAAGGAGGAAAAACTGAGTCATGAATGAATTCTTATTATGATCTGTACTTATTTAACCTAGTTTATATAAATTGAACCACATGTTTAAATTTAAAAAGATTTTGTATGTTGATTAATGAGTTAGACACATTGAGTTTAATGCAGAATATTTTGGGTATTTTTCTGTTTTAGTCTTTTCAAAATATTTTCTTTTTTTTTTTAACATAACTTTATTCTGTCTCTCTTTAGATTTGTATTGAACGATGTCTTGAAAGGGGAAAAAGTAGTGGTAGGAGTGATGACAACAGAGAGAGCTTGGAAAAGAGGTACTTTACAGTTTTTACTTTAGCTACCTTAGTCCTGGTGTAGAAATGGAGTGACAGATTATTTTGTTATTACACTGTTCTATTTTGTTTAGAAGAGAAATGTCATGCTTGCAGACACAGGGCTTGTGTTAAAGAGAAAGCATTTGGGCCAGACTCTCTAATCAGCCTTTCTATGATGTGGAAGAGGGAGGACAGTCAACCTGCAGCCCTGAAAGATTGTTTCTTTTGCAGGATTCAGACTTATCTCCAATCAACAAAACCAATTATTGACTTATATGAAGAAATGGGGAAAGTAAAAAAAATAGATGCGTCTAAGTCTGTTGATGAAGTAAGTGTGCCTGGCTTGTTTTTGCAATAAACAAAAATGTGATCATTGGGGTAGGCATGAGAAAAAATATTTTCTATCATATTATTTAGTTTTTAAGACATTTGCGGCTAACTATGAAATTTGGGGGGTATTTTTCCTTTTTAGTAAGTCTAAAATAGTTTTTACTACTTAAGACCTGTTTTTCACAAGAAGTGGGTGTTTTATTAATTCCAAACTGCTTTCCTCAAACAGTGAAAGACTGTATTCTCGGGACAATGATTTGAATTTTGTTCATTGTTAAAATCTATAGCACAACTGGCATGCTGTAGCCACGGGCCCTGGCTGTTATTTCTTCCAGAACACAGGGCTCCTGAGGTGCAGGCTTCCTGGACTCTGCTCACCTCAGTGCCTGTAAATATCTACCTGTAGATATTCCTAGTACTTCTGAGTTCATCTGCTGTTCCTTAGTCTTCCTTCTCTTCTAATCACTGGCCAAAGAGAGGCCAGAGGAAGGCTCACTGAGTAAACATTTCATCCACTGCCACTTCCTACAGCAGTGAGGCAGTACATGAGAGAAACTGGACTTTTAGAGTCAAAACGAGATTTGCCACTGAGTCTATATTTTACCAGACTACTAGTAGCCCATCAGGAAGTGCATTTAGTCCAAAAAGCACTAATAAATTTGAAGGCAACATATTCGTAGTTATATGTGCTTTGTTTGTATTATTGAATTGATAAAGTGAAATAGATGAAATTAAGAAATTATAATGTTTAAAATTAATATAAAATAGATTTTTTTTTTAAAAAACAGGAACTTAGATGTACAGTTTTATGTGTATTTTGTTTTATTTTTAATTTTGGTGTTAGGAATTGAACCCAGGACCTATACATGCTACACAGTGTTTTAGTAATATCTGATTTTAAAATTGTCTTTTTCCTTTACAGGTTTTTGGTGAAGTTGTGAAGATTTTTGACAAAGAAGGCTAACCAACCCTGAAGACATCTTTGAAATCATGCTTGAATATTGCTTTGAGAGCTGCTATCACAGCCCCCTTTTAAGGCGATTTTAATCTATCTAAATTACATCTCAATTAATGTCTAGAAATATATAGTAAGACAAATTATGTTTTTTGTTTTTTAATTTGTGGTCACCATACACGGTGAATTCAGGTTTAAATTATCTTAGGTATTATGGTGCTCACACGATAAAGAAGGGTATCAGCTTGTTGTTGTTTGTATTAAAATACTCTCCCTTTTCTCCCTTTATGTTTGTGCCTTCTGTGAGCAAAATTTTTAGTATGCATGTATATCCCTTTTGTAATTTCAGTGTGTTGGGGTTTGGAATATCCACTTCCTCTTGCTGCACATTTAAGATTTCCAACCTGTTAAGTGAGTTTGTGGACCAAATTTAAAGGAACTTTATATGTAGTCAGTACTTGCACAAGGTGAGGTGTTTGTAAACAAACTCATAATTCGGAACATGAATTTCTAGCAATGTTCTACTTATCAAATGACCGGCCATTTCCTGTCAAAAGTTAAGCCTTAGGCATTGATTTATTACAGCTTGTGCAAAGTTGTATGATAGGACATAGTCTTTGCTTCCAAGGTTTGGGTCAGGGGACAGGGCCTTCAGAGCCTGGCAGACTTGCCAGCTTTCTTCTGTCATAATCTGTGGGGCAAGGGTCACAGCAGTGACTTACGTTCTATGCTCTGTGACATAGGGCTAGTCATTATTGAACTGAAGGTAACAGTTCCACGTAGTAGACTCCTGACACGCATGCGCTAGTTTATGCTAACGTGATCCACTCCTTTTTTTGTTTTGTTTCTTAGACTAACAGAGTTAGAATAAATTAGAAAAAGCAATCTAATGGTTAAAATTCCCATTTGTATTTTATTTTCTGGAATATTTTTTTTTCATGGTTACTGGTTGAAGAGAATTTAAAAAATCATTGCACTTTGGTCAGAAAAATAATAAATATATCTTATAAATGTTTGAATCCCTTCCTGCCTGCTTTTTTCGAGTTTGAGAGTCCAAATGATTTTCTTTCTTTAAAAAATTAAAAATCTTGGGTCAGAGAGATGGCTCAGCAGTTAAGAGCACTGGCTGCTTTTCCAGAGTCCTGGGTTCAACTCCCAGCAACCACATGGTATCTCACAGCCATCTATAATGGGATCTGATGTCCTCTTCTGTCTTCCAGGCATCCATGCAAATAGATAATTCATATGTATAAATAAATAAACCTTAAAAATTAAAAATTTGTTTTCTTTTTTCTTTGTTTTGTATTTTCTATCCCTAATGCTGAGTGTACCTAAGGTTCTTTAAAAATAGTTATATTTTCTAAGTGTTTTGCCTGCATGCATATTTGTGTACCGTGTGCATGCCTGGTGCCCGCAAAAGTCAGAGGATGTTGGATCCCCTGCCATTAGAGTTACAGAAAACCCTGAGCTGCCATGTGGCTGCTTGGAGCAACCCAGGACTTCTGCAAGAACAGCAAATGCTCTTCACCATCTCTTGCTTCTGTATGTAACAGTTCTTCATAGAGATTTCTTTAAATGTTTCTCATTTTCAGCACTTACACAGGTACACAGGGTTAAATAGAACACAGACTTTGTATAATTAGGTTTTATATTTAAATTTATTGAAAACAATAAATAAGAACAAGTAAATGAATTTTTTATAATACATTTCTCTATGTCTTACAAAATTCACTTACTAATGAGACAAATTACAACTTGTCATTAGAAAACAAAGTATCCCTTCATACTATAGTATATTATACTATAGTTTATTGGCTGCTGAAACTTACATCCAGCCTGTCTTAGTTCTTGGAAGATAATAGTGAATTTCTGTCTAGTACTTCATTCTAGAAACTTTTTTGGTGGTTAATCACACAACTCTGAAATGAATTGAGTACAGACTGTTGTGAGACTTCTTGTTTGTGCAAGTGAAGAAATCTGCCAGCCGGGAATGTAAATATTCTTACTGATGATTATGAGAACACCCTTCAGATTTTGAGGAGACTAGGTGTTTTGCTTCATTAAATAGCTCTGGCATTTGCAAACAACCCCCCCCCCCCCCCCCAAAAAAAAAAAAAAAAACAACATGGTAATTTCTAAATTATGAGTACTTTCTTTTTTGCTTTTTAAGTAGAAAAATGTGTTAGCAAAAATGTTTTGCAGTTGATGGAGATACATCTGATTTTGCTAGTTTTAGACATTCCATTGTTCAAAGATACAGTAGTAAGAAGCTTTTGCAGTTCTTGAAGGACTTTACTTTGAGCCTTGCTGTATCTTAAAAGTTAATGTCATTTCTGTGTACTGTTGTTGATTATATACAAATTATTTAGTAAATAATCCCAATAAATGTGCTGATGCCTTTGCTGTCTTTGCTGATTCTGATTTCTGTTCTCTTAAGTGTGCTGAAGATGAAACAGTATATTTAACACACGAGTCCTCAGCAAAAGCGGGATTCAAGACACAAGGTTTCTGCTCTACGTTGTGTCTGGAGTTAAACAGAGCATGGACTTAACCAGGAGCTGATTTGGGCAGAGCACATGTAACCTGTTTGACCACGTGTGGGACGCATTCCTTATCTTAGGATATCTTCTAATTAATTTCGAATTTTTTTGGTCCCCTGTGAGATAGGTTCTAATTGTGTAGCTCAAGCTAATCTCAAACTCGTGTGCTGGTATCATAGGTGTGTACCACCGGGCAGGTTCAGTTACTCTTACTTAGTTCAATTATCTTAATACCTCTGTATCTTCAGCTAAGTCAAATATCCCATAATTCTAATCATTTTTAATAAAAGCATGTTTATTATGTACCATAGAGAAAGAAAAACAACGGTCCTAACCACCTGTCCCTTACTTTCTCATTCTTCCACACCGAAACCAGTGTTAGGCACAGGAGCGGTTGCTATGATGATGTCGTAATGACCTGGGTATTCTCCAAATCCTGTGGCTCACTATTTTTTCTGTTGTGGGGAGATAGAAAACTTAAGTTGAATTTTAGGCTAGGGTTAACCGTACTAGCTCCAGGCTCCCAGGCTCAGGCTTTTACAGATCTCTGCCTGACAGGCCCATCAGCTACTTTTCTTGAGTCTGTCCTCAAAGAGGCCTTTCTAGATAGGTCACCAAATACCATACCATATTCTAGCCTTTAGTGCGCTCAGCTCATGAACATTACCAATTAAAAGCACTTACTAAGCCAGGCATGGTCATACATGCCTGTAATCTGAGCACTCGGAGGCAGAAGCAGGGCGATTGCTGTGAGTTCGAGGCTAGTCTGGTCTAAAAAGTGAGTCCAGGACAGCCAGGGCTACACAGAGAAATCCTGTTTCAAAAAAAAAAAAAAGCACTTATTGAATAATTATGAACCTAAGTTTGGATTCCAGCATGTGATTCCAGCTCTGAGGGATCTTTTGTCCTCTTTTGTGCCTTCATGTATGAATAGATACACACGCGCGCGCGCATACCACCTTGCGTGTGCATAGATATATAGAAATATAAAAATAATGATTTTTTGTGTGTGTGGGGGTGAATTGTGTTGAGTCAAGGTTTCCCTGTGTAGCCCTGGCTGTCCTGGAACTCCTGTAGACCAGGCTGGCCTTGAACTCAGATCTGCCTACCTTTGCCTCCTGAGTACTGGGATTAAGGGCACCACCCAGCTGAGAATTATCTTTTTAAAAAGCATGTTTGTCAGCTTTGAAAATACTCTTACAGTATTTTTTTTTTCTTTTTTAAATAGTATCTCACTATGTAGCCGTGGCTGGCCTCAGTTTCACAGAGACCTGCCTGCCTTTGCCTCTCAAGTAAGTGCTGGGATTAAAGGGGTACAGCATTACATCTGACTCCTTAGTTTAAGGTGAACTTCCAAGAAAACTCCATAAAGTTGTGGTGGTTGGCTAGCCCTGTAAGGATGCAGCTAAACTTGCCTCCTACCAACTGCCTGGCTCTAAGGACTTCAGGGCCAGAGGGCAAAGCTATTGGCAAGGGTCAGCAATCAGTACTTAAGACACAGAATCACAGCAAGCGTGAAGTTCCATGCATTGCATCACCCTGAGTTGTTGATAGGCTTTATGAAGAAGCATTTTTACAAGCGGCTGGAACGTGGCAGGGTGGGTATCTGATGGTGGTAGCTCAGCACCAGAGTGTCCCCATGATGTCAGGCTGTCTTACCAGAGCGCAGTAGATGCCGTCATTGCCCTGTCCTCATTTGAAATGGTCTAGATGAACACAGTCTTTACGTTATTTAGAAGGGAAATACAAAGCTTAATTGGCTGGTGTTTAGATTAGGAGAGAATATTTCCACTTTAGAATGACCAAGTTGTTGACCTCTGGACAGCTCTGTAGTAGAGCATCTGTTCAGCGTGATCAAGGCCCTAGATTTAATTCCTAACACCACAAGAACTAAAATAATACATTGACCAATTAAAACAATTACGTCTGCTGGATGCCTTGATAGATGCCTATCATCGTGGCTATTTAGGACACTAAGGCAAGAGGAAAAGATCACATGAACCCAGGAAGACAACCTGAGCAATACAGCAAGACTGGACAATAAAACCAGCTACTTTAAAACTCTAGATCTCAAATAGTGTTAGGATGTGTCCAGTGCTGTTTCCAGCATGGCTGAGCAGAGTATGTTCCTTCCTCTGCTTAGAGCCTTTAATTAAGTTGGATAAGTGCTGTTTCGGAAAGGAAGGTAAATACTACACTTGGGCTTGAGGCTGTTGCTGCTCTGTGCTAATGGAAAAATACAAAATCTGGGGGATGGAACGTCAAGCAGCAAGGAGAGTGAGGTTCTGTTCTACTATATGTACATTAAGGTCGTTGCTGGGGCTGGCTTGTTCTGTTAAACATCACTTCCTGTTCTATCCCAAATGTTCATGACCACAGAACACATTCCCACTGCTCTCCTGACTGTTTTGTTGACCAAACTCAGTTCAGGAATGTATTTCCTCTTAACACCATCTATATTCATTTTTCTTTAGTTTGTGTTTTGAGTCATTTGGCTATTTCTGAGTTTGATTCAAAGTAGTTAATTAGAGTTAAGTTATACTGTCTTAGGTGACCACATGTACATAAACTAATTGGCAAAATAATAGCTGTATACACATAGGATTCATTATCTCAGTCTAATAATATTCATGGAAAGTATGCCCTCTTAAGTTTAGTTAGCTAGTCATTCACAGGCCAATTTTCATGGGTGTTGATCCTGAGGCTTGGTTCCAAAGGATAATGATAGCACCAAAATCTTCATGTTATAAAAATTGGTCTGTCATTCATTCAAAAAACCCTATTGGGACAAAGATACTCCCATCAGCTATGCTCAGTCACTACAAGCTTACTAGACAAACTCAGGTCTAGTGGTTTCATTCATTCCTTCCTTCCTTTCCTACCTCCTTCCCTCCCTCCCTCCCTCCTTTCTTTCTTCCTTCCTTTCTTCTTTCTTTCTCTTTCTTTCCTTCCTTCCTTTCTTTTTCTTCCCTCCTTCTTTTCTTTCTTTTTTGAGACACGGTTTCTCTGTATAGCCTTGTCTGTCCTGGACTCGCTTTGTAGACCAGACTAGCCTCAACCTCGCAGTGATCAGCCTGCCTCAGCCTCCCTGAGTGCTGGGATTAAAGGCATGCACCACCACACCCAGCATCTAGTGGCTTCTTAACCGCCCTTTGAAATGATTTGTTCCATATGTATGCAAGTCTTATTCATGTCCATGTGTGAGGAGTTTATATGTATGAGGATGCTTGTACATGTGTGTATGCACATGCATGTGGAAATGGTAAGCTGATGTATTTTTCTCAATCTATTTACTGAGGTAAGGTCCCTTGCTAAAGCCAGAGCTTGCCCCAGGGATCTGATCTGTCTCTGTTTCCTTTTTTTAAAATAAACTCTCACGGTGTAGCCCAGGCTGGCCTGGAACTCACTGTGTATCCCAAGCTGATCCCCACACACTGCAGTCCTCCTTCCTGCCTCCACCTGAGTGCTAGGTTTACAAGTAGCCGTCATCACACTCAGCCAATATATGCTCTTAATGCTGGCTGGCTTTTCTGTGGTCTCACTTTGTTTCCCTAGCAATTCTGGGGCACTTTGGAACTGTTTTCCTTTTGTACGGATGATTAAAATAAGGCCCAAAGAGTCCAAGTTAATTGCCTAATGAGCTTTATAAGCGGTAGTTGGGGGTTTGGGCCTGAGGTACACCTTGAGCCTCATCCATTCTGTTTCCCATCTCTCTACCTGCTGCCTACCTACAACCAGAAAATGCATGCTCCTATGATTCTTCCATCTTTTTCCATTGATTGATTGGTTGCTGACAGGGTCTTATGTAGCCTAAGCCAGCCTCAAATTCCTAGGTAGCATTGAGGATGGCCTTCAAATTCTGATCCTTCTGCCTCTGCCTCCTGAGTACTGGGATTATAAGCTCATATAAGCCATGCCTGGCTCCTTGCTTATTTTCTTTTTAAAATATTATGCTGCAGGTCCACTTGCCAACAAATCATACAGCAGTGGGCAGAGAAGGTCACTCACAAGCCGTGTGGTCCACCCGCACGGGTGGGACCACTACAGTGTGCAATGTACAATGTACAGATGGGAGAGAAAGAAAATCAGAACTGTTTGAACATGTGAGAGGAGAGGAATAGCTTGTTTTGAGTTTCCAGCCCCACTGCAGGGCCATGGTGAAGTCCTGGGCTGTGCTGTCATTAAAGGTCATGTCTGGGTCCATGGCTATGCAGTGGCAGGGGCTAGTGTCAATATCTGTTGCTCATATTATCACCAGAGACCAAGGGGACATCCCTGGTTTGGGCAGCTGCCTGGGACCAAGTGGATGTCCAGGGGTTGTAAAAAACAGGCCCTGCCTTTCACTGGTTGCTGTGCTCTGGAGAGCTGGCCCCACCTCTCAGCACTCAGGAGAGCAGGGCCCTGGGTCTCACCAGGGCAGCACAGGGGAGCTGGCCCTGGTGTCAGGGTCGAGTGTGAGCCAGCCTGAGTGTGTGAGCATGGAAGAACTGGCCCAGCCCCTTGAAAGCGGCAGCACTTTGGAGAATGGGTCCCTCTGCCTCAACTGGGAAGCAGAGGAGCTGGCTATGGAGGCGTGCAATTGGGTGAGCTGGCCCAAGGTCATGAGAGCAGCAGCCTGCCTCCTGCTGATGGCAGCAATGGGTGGCCTAGCCAGAATGGTGCTGGAGACTAGCCCTGATGGTGTGGATAGGGGCTGAGCAGCTAGCTCAGCTACCACCCAGGCCCAGATCCACCCCCAAATCTACATCATCTGTACACTATTGGAGCAGATGAAAGGGCTGGTCCTGCTAATCCAAAACTTCAGTATCTCCATGAAGGGAGATACTGCAACAATGGGAAATAGGGAGGCAGCCTGGTGAGGATCCAA